TGATATTTGACTATTCGATATACTATGTTCTAACTTTTTTTTATCTGTAGATTAAGGTTAGAAAATATGGCCAAAACCTCAAAACATGATATATTTCCAGTTTTTTTTTTTTGGCCATATCTATATAATTTCAATATCGATTAAAAAAAAAAAAAAGAAAAAAAGAAAAGCCTCAGAAAGACTTCCAAGAATACCTACAACAGGCCTACAGAAACTTATGACAATTATTTTACCATGTTTATAAACTTTCTTCAACTTCACATTTTTTTAATATTTGCCTAAAAAAACAAAAACACATCAAACTAGATAAAACCCAGAATATCAGTCAGTGACAAATTCTGTGATCATAGATGGTATATTGAAATAAAAAAAAAACTGTTTTAAGGTAATTATCATTGATATGGAATTTTATTATATTGCAATACATATCAAATTTGAAAGATTTTTTTTCCAGTAATACCCTCAATGCATCTTTTTATGTTATTACTACTGAAATGCTTAAAGAACTATAAGCAACATTTTACCACTAAGGTTTGATTCCCGGCCCGGGGTCTTTCTGCATGGAGTTTGCATGTTCTCCCTGTGCATGCGTAGGTTCTCTCTGGGTACTCTGGCTTCCTTCCACACTCCAAAAACATGACTGTTAGGTTAACTGGCTTCTCTAAATTCTTAGTTGTGAATGTGTGCATGAATGGTTGTTTGTCCTCTTTGTCTCTGTGTTGTCCTGTGAGAGAATGGCGACCTGTTCAGGGTGTACCCCGCCTTTCACCCACCAGCACCAGATAAGTGCAACAGCAAAAAAATGGGTGAATGAATTCTTGAAGTATTGTTTGTCAAATGAGTCTGTCTGAATCAAAGAACCATAAACACCTGGGAAGTTAATAGCATAACATCTTCAGCAATACATCACAATTGACACAGAATCCAATGGGTGAATCCATTCTTATCAAAGCAGTTGATCTGAAGGAATGATAGAGCTGGCAGCTAGTCAGGCCAACCCCACCAACAGTCTGCTGCGAAGTCCAAAACTGTCTATATCACCACCACAGAGCCATATCACCATGTAAATGCCATTAATTTTACATTTCAATTAATAAAGTAAGCTAAAATGGCTGTGGTACATCTTTCTGCTCCAGGTAAGGAAAATATGATTGATGATAACCTACTTCACAGATCCTCACTTCAAAAATCATTAAATAAACATTAAATAAATCCCTTTAAGATTAGAAACACACTCTGCATCACACTGTGCAGTTTGGGGTCTACAACTAGAATATACTCTAACTGCTTCAATCAGGAAAAAAGGTTCTAGATGCAGAGGACGGATTGTGTGATGATTTCCTTTTGAACATAGTATATATTATAGAAATATATTGTAGTGAATAAGACAAATATTACATCAGTCTAAGCATATCCAACATGAAAAACAAACATATGCATAAATTCAGGGAACATCAAAAAGACAGCAAAGCATTTCGGAACGGCCCAGTTAATGTTTAACTGTAAAGTGGACTAACGACTGTACACAAATCCAAAAAACAGCTTGACCTCCACAGCAGTTTAATCTGTGCATGTCTGTGTGTGTTAGAGGATTTGATTAGGGAGAAAACTGTGAATGCAAAGGTGTGCGTGAGCTGGGCACTCACCCATCTTCCCCTCGGTCACGACTTTCTCGGCGTACATCTGTGCTCAGGAGAAATCAGAGAGCAGCAATAGACGACGATAAGAGTGGTTTCCCTCGTCCCTTCCTCTAAATAACCACGCTGGGCAGGTGGGCTGAGCTACTGTGCTTGGTATTGTACTTTTGAAAACCTAGAAAATACATCACATAAAACAAAAATGTTACAAAACAACAGTAAATATTTACTGAATCAAAAGCTATATAAGAAGAAAAACTGATGCTTCTATTTGTTTTTTTTTTTTGTTTTTTTTTTTTGCATTCCTCAGATTTCTGTCCATGATGACTCAGAAATGTGACGTTTTCTAAAGTACATTTAATTAGTTCAGGTCCTTAAAGTGTAACCAAGGCAATTTTTGAAAAATACTACCAAAGTAGTTGATGTCAAGAGACACTGAGGGAAAGGTTTTTGTGTGGGATAAGGGAGTGGCAGCTAGTATAAGTTCACATATTAAAACATGGGAAGAGAGAAAGTGGTTGGAGACCCACAATTACTCTCTTTAATCCCTTTTAGCATGTAAACTGGCTCAGAGTTCATATGATTAACAGTGTCTTCCACACACAGAGCCACCAAGCTAGTTCACCATTACCTTTCCTAGTATAGAAAGTATTTACTGTATAAATCAGTGCATTTATGTTTGTTTCGTATGTCTGTCTCTGTCATCTTGACCCCAGTTGGCCATGACAGAAGGCCAATCACACTGAGCCTGCTTTTTTGGGGAGGTTTTTTCCTGTTAAATGGGAGATTTTCCTTTTCACTGTCACTGCATGCATGCTCTGTGTGATGCACTGCTGTGGAGTCAAGATGCAAGTCAATGTCTACTGTTTATTTCTACTCCACATGCATCCAGGATGAGCGAACCCTGTGGAGTCAATGACTGGATGTTATCAGCTGGTTTTCATTGGAGGGAAAATGTTTAACCGAACTTTCATTGGACTGTGTGATGTTTTGTGAATTGGCACTACTGAAATTAACTGATTTGAGCTTAATTAAATTGAAAAATCAGTACTGCCAGGATAGCAGAGAACAAGATGGGGGCATGAATCTGAGTGAAACTGTTATGCATCATACATGAACATGGGCTACAATGATGAAAGCAAATAGTATTTAAGCATTAAGGCAGCACTAAGGGAGTTAAAAAACCTACAAGTCCATATGAAAATGCGGAAAGAAATTTCACAAGCTGGTATTTTACAATTTTGCTGGCTTTTGGGCTGAGGTGAGAGCTCTAAGCTCTATCACATACATTACTCCCCAGTATCTGGGATTGGTTATATAGTAGAGCTTTGAGGACAGCACCATTCTACCTCATTTTAATTTGTTTAAAGTGAATATGTGACTTATTTCTAGGACATATGCAGTGATAATCACTCCATATAAAGTATAGCAGACTACAGCAGAGTTTATTAATGATGAGCTGACAAGCAGAACATCTTAAGTACTGTTTGATCAGCATAATCAGCTAATTCGCACAACTGATACTCAGTTTAATTTCAAACCCAAGTTGGGAACTGATTTCTACATTTATGGCCCTATGGAGGCGATGCAGGCATAGGGAAAAACTCATCCATGTAAATTGGGCTCAGTGATGCTTTTAAGCCATTGATCAGGGTCAGCCACTCTCAGATAGTTGATAAGTCACAATAAAATGAAGGAACTTCAACTATGGGATGCACGTAAAAAGACAATACAATCTGCCTCTTCTGGTGTTAGTAATGGTTGGTGTCAGGGAAAGTGTCTCCTACCAACCCTGTTTAATTAATACATGGATGGGTTGTTGAATAAACTAAAGGCTATAAAACTGGATGTATTATCTGTAACACTGGTTAATCATTTTCGAGTATGCTGATGATCTGGCTGTATTCTCTCCCATCGGTTTTGGCTTTCAGCAGCTGGTAAATATCTGCTTTGGCTATAGGCGTGGATATGACATGCAGCACAGCATGGTATTAGGCAGGGGTAAAGGGGAACGGTGTCCATGTGACACTTAGAAAATAACTGTCCATTGGTCAGGTTGGTTAGGAACAACCTTTGGCACAATACCTTAGAATATTCTTCAAATCTGATGTTGCCCCTTCAGTAAATCCAGTTTAACATCAACCTGGACTGATATGGTGTCAACCAAAGGAAAAGCCTCTGACCTGATATCTATGCCTTCAAGCTTGAGTAAAATCTGTCAGGCTTCATGGAAAAATTGAATGACATCTGCGGGGAAAGGAATATGCACACATAGGCGTTGAGGTGAGACTTTGAAACCTAACACTGTACCAGCTGCTAAGCACGTTGATGGTAGCATAATGCTGAGGGTCTGCTTTGCCACAAGGGAATTAGTAGACTGCTTAAAGCGGATAGAAACATCATCCTTCATCTCTCTCCTAATCATTCTACTTCTTCTTAAATAAGCAGCTTGGAAGTGGAAGCATAGGGACATTTGAGTGTTTTATAGGGTCAACAATCACAACTCATATTAAACAAGACTTAAAATGTGTAAAAAGACCAGCTACCCATGTGGAATAGATCAAATCTCAGTCTTATTGAATAGATACAAAAGATGATTCAAAGCCACCTAAATGTATAGAAACTGAAAGATTTAGATCAGCTGATAGTTCTAATTCTGTGAAGTAGGAGTGGTAAAAAAAAAATCCAGCTAGATGTGGTTCCAGAAACCAGTTGCTGTTTGCTGTGGACTTCCGTCTATGTGCATAATATGTTAGAAATATCATAATCATACCGATTTAATATAAAATATTTAATTATCAAGGTAAGTGTTACACACAGTTAGGATAAATCAAATGTTTGAAATGCAATTGAAGCCAGAATTATAATTTAGTCTGATATTTCTGTAAATCCTGTTTTATTGGATATATATTCGCTTAATTTAACCAGAAATGACTTGTTAACTATTAATTACTTAGTAGTAAACTATACGTTTTCTTCAAGGTACTCACCTGTATTCCTTTATAGCAGGTGGATTTGGGTCTTTTTTCCCTTTGAAGTTAAATAAAATAGAAAAATGTGAAAAACATAACCCACAAATAACTAAGTTTGAGCCCAAGTGGGGATAGATCCCTTTTTTTTTCAGTATATCCTCTCTTTTCCTCTCTTCACAGGTTACTGACCCCGGAGAAAGAGAAGAAAAAAAAAAAAGGAAAAAAAAAGTGAAGCAACGTTTCTTGCCAAAGTTTGGTCCGTTTGCATCAACCAAAACCACCAGCGCCCGCTTCTAGCTGTAAGAACAACATTTGGAGGAGTGGCGGGGAATTAAAACGAGCTTCCTGGAGGTTTTTTACTTGAAGTTCGTCCTTCGCTCTTTTCTCTGCGGTCTGCTTCTTCTGGGAGCGCTCTGCTGCGCACGAGAGGGGCGCGAGTGACGTCACGGTCCCTGAGTGGACGAGGTGTGCACGAGAGCTGTACCTGTGACGGACACGCTGTCCCCACCTGAAAACAGCAGCCTAATTAAACAGTTTAATAGTGATTCAGGCAGTGTTTCACTCAGCAGGTGCGCTGCTTGGTTCACACACATTTAGAAGGCTGTGAGAAAAAACACAAAAAGCAAATCTAACTGATGAAGCAGTTTCCTTCTGATGATGACATGAAACGATTGACAAAATCCAAGTTCCTCGTTGGTAAAGCAAACAAAGGGGAAGCTGAAGCGCTTAGACACTTTTGCCCTGGAGACAGAGAAGTGAACAGACACTGATAGAAGACAACAGAAAAAGCACCAAAGCCCTGCAGAAACATTAACTAGAGAAAAGGACAGTGGAGCTACAGGAAGATGGACATCAATGGTGGGCTCATAGCACATCAACAAAGCTACTGCTGCTTACTAATCATTGTTTGCATGAGAGGTAAAAATATTTCTGTTTTATTCCAGAATCATCGAGACATCAATGTGAATTGAATAAATATCATTTTTTATGACACTGTTAGAACTTGATGATTAACTTCTCTTATTAACTGTATTTATTTTATGTATTGTTACACCTATTTTAACTTGCACAGGTGTTCTAGCTGGTGATTGGTCAGTTCACCTCCCCTCCAGTCCCATATGTGCTGTGGTTGGCTCTTCAGTAGTCCTGTCTTGTTCCTATGACTACCCACTTAGCTCTGACCAATTCAAAGCAGATGGCCCACTCTCTGCTCAGGTAATAAAGAAGCCATTGTTTCTTGTAGCCAGAGTCCTTTCAATGGACATTGCTTTCTGTGCAACCTTTGTTTGGTCAGAATTTATAAATATCACCAATGATTAGGTGTTGCTGTTGCTCCAGTGAGTAAAGCTATTCAAAAAGCTTCCTGTTAATGTTAAGTGCAATTGTCAAATTAAAAAGTGTTATTTTAATTAGACAGGAGGCAATGAAAAGGGACTGGAATACAAAGTTTTGTCTGAGATGTGGTGTCTTGGAGACAGCCGCTGTATTACAGAAAGGTATGGCAGAAAAACAAAAACTCAAGACATTATTTCCAGTAAAATCTAAAGTTTTAAGTTTGTTTGTTTGTTTGTTTGTGTGTATCAGATATGTGTTCCACAGTGCCGGTATCTTCCCTGATCCATCATATGAGAACCGAGTGGAGTATCTAGGACAGCCTGGAACCAAGAACTGCTCTTTAAGGATTTCTGATCTCAAAGAGTCAGACAGTGGAACCTACGTGTTCTACCTCATTACCAACCATACGACTGAGAAGATGCCTCCACAGACTGGAATACAACTCTTAGTAGCAGGTGAGAATATTCTCTCCATTCCCTCGTTATATTTATACATATATATTTTACTCTCTCTTCATTTGGTTTATTAAAAATTAAAGAGATTACATGGTTTAATCTTGCCTCTTTGTCACACTGGTTCTGTTCATTTATTGTTATTATCAATTAGGTTAATCTTTCAGTTAGTGTAATTTATTGCAAGTCTGTTATTTTTTGTCAAAAAGATGAGTCCATGTTTGGTTGGCCACTAAAATTGAAATCAAAATATACAACAGTATTGTATTTTTGACTCAGTAAATGAAAAAATCTAAAAAAAAAAAAAAAGCAGTTCAACTAGTTTTGTTTTTGCAAATATTTCTCCCTCTCAGAGACCTTTGTTTGACTCTGTTCATTTCGCAGAAAGCAGAAGTGAAACTGACCAATTGTAAATAACAGTTCAAATTAAAAGCAAAACACAAAAAACAAGCTGAAGTAACAGTGAAACAGTAACAAATCTTGGAAAACAGTTATGATGGAGTAATTAAAGGTTTTAAAATAGATGCCTGCAGATCATCGCTGCTTCAGACACAAAATGACTCAGCTAATTTTGGGAAGGGGTGTTTTCTTTCTTCCCTTGTTTGACCACAGAGACCTTTCTGTCTAAGTGCAGTATTTGTGTGCAAGAGTTCTGTGGTTTTCTCGTTCCTTATTTTGTGTCATCTCCTCATTCGTCCCATGATATTGTTATCCTCAATCATCTTTTTAAGTCTGCATGTCAAAAGTGGAGCTGAAATACCGTTTTGTTAAGAACAAGTAGGACTCAAGTCTTTAGTTATAAGTCAAGTCATGCTAGCTTAGGCCCCTGGTTTTCAAAGTGGGGGCCGCGGCAAGTGATGTCTAGGTGCCACTGAGGAGGTTCTGTCCAACAGTCCAACCTTGGCTTCAGGAGAAGCCCTGTGATTTTAATCCAGGTATCAAAGGAGTTTGTCCAACCGGTTTTTATCTTCTTTGTGGACATGAGGACAGCACTCAGATGCTGCACCTATGTAAGAGATAAAGTTCCTCGTGATGCCCTGTAAAAGGGACACTCCAGGAAGTCTAAGTCCTCATTGCCCGTCAGGCTTGTTACCAGTGTATGTTGGAGACTGGCAGAGTGGCCATTGGTCATTGATCCTGGTCAGAACTTTCATGGACATGATTTTCCAGTGCAATAATGACCTAAAAGGGTTCTGGTTTTTTGACCAACAGACCAAGCATGACCTGGTCCCACATAACTACCGGTACAAATTACCAAGTCACATGTCTATTGCTCTGCAAGGGTGACAACTAATATTCAGTCAAAATGAAAAAATAAATATCCCTGTGCAAGTTGACTTAATATAGTTATAAGTCTTAAATGTTTAAACTGCTAGTATATGTTCTTTGATATAACTAAGATTTGCTTATTATTTCACTCGTGTTTGAGTTATAGTAATATCGGTATTTACTAGTAGATAAGTTTGAAGCTGCTTCTGGTCGTGGTATACACATTTTTATACTTATAGACTGCTAAACTTGCTAAATATTTTTATGTTCATGTGGTTTTGTCCCGGAAAATATGGAAAAACCTTTCCCAAACTTTTTTCAGCAGATTCCTTCGGAGCTGTTGCAGTCTCAGCAGGTCCATCCCATATTGTGTCTGAGGGTGCTGCATTAAGCCTGGCTTGTTGTAGCCCAGCAGCCACTGCACAAAGCCAGTTCACCTGGTACAAGAGCACAGAGAGCAGAGTTTTACATGCTGGACAGGTGTGGATTATCCGTGACGTCACACCTGAAAAATCTGGAAACTACCACTGCCAAATGAAGACTGGAAATGACATGCAAAAATCTAACTTTCTGGCCATTAATGTGCATTGTAAGTAAAAAGTAACCTTGAAGCTAATCTATGCAATTGTTAACTTTACTGGAAACCATTCAAAATATTTTTTACTTTTCTTTACTACTACTTGATAAAAAAAAGTGATATGTAGTATATATTATTTTAAATCTTTAATATTTGTAGCTACTTATTTACCTTTTGCATCATCTTCCTTTAGACCCACCTAGAAACACAAGTATCTCCATCTTAGGAGCCCAAGACGATTATCCTGTGACTCTGACCTGCAGCAGTGAGGCAAACCCACCGGTGGACACCTATGTCTGGTACCAGGGTGAAGCCTGTCGACCGACTGCAGACAAAAGCTTTCATCCAGGAAGGCGAACCAAGGCTACACTAACAGGAAGAGGCCCAACATTCAGCATGGCCAACTTTACCACTGAGACGTATGGACAGCACTGCTGTGTGGCACGCAACAGACATGGATCTGACAGCATGACTTTCAGCATAACAGATTCCAGAGGTAGGTACAGTAAATGATGAACCTCTGTTTTAAAGCTAAGAAAATGGTGTACTGAAAGACATTTAAAAATTCTATCGTTTATGATTACAGTAGGGCTGAACGATTTTGTCAAAAGGTGAAATAGTTTGCTTATTCAGAGTCCAGTGTTTCAGGACTTTACTGTAACCTTTGCGTGTAACTTCTACTATCATGCATGGATCTGTGCGATAGTGCGACTGCCTCTTCCCTTTTCATTACCACCACCTAAAGGGCTGGAGGGAGAAATTTAGTGTCTTACTCAGTTTAACTTAACGTGAAAATCTATAGCCTTGCAATTTGAAATGTTTATTTTCCTAAATTGCTGTTATATTGTAAAATCAATTAATTACCCAGCACTATATGTTATCCTTACATAGTAAATAACAAAATACAACAAAAAATTGCCTTTAAATAACTTCGATAAAGCTAGTATTTGAGTTGCAATATGTGAAGGGTACTGCTTAAGCATTTTCACCTTACTGTAAATCAACCATGACCTTTTTTACTTGGAATGTGATAGAGCTAGCAAAAATACAGCACATTTGTGAAGTAGGAATAAAATGATTAATGCTCGGGTAGCTTTTTACAAAATGGAGAACATTAAAGTGGCAAAAGATAATACTGCATCTCCCTTTCCCTGCCTAATGCACGTTACTAGCAGTATCATGTGGGAGAGTTTGTCTTCTGCCAATGAAGGAGATAGGGTTGCCAACCATCTCATGAAAAACAGAATTGTTCCGTATTTAGATATAGACGTACCTATCCCGTATTTAGTGGAAAAGGAATGCACTTTGTCCCGCTGTGTCCTTTGTCCTCAGCATCCCATCTTCCACTGATGTTGTTGATAGGATTTTTTTTTAATGAAGAATGTGTGGAACAAATGTTCCACTGAGTTAATTAAAGCTGAGCTTATTTTCAACCTCAATAATAACCTGTCTTGCTCAGAGTTTTACTCTGCTGCACTCAAAGACAAACACCTCCTCATTGCTGCAAGAGCTCAGAGGAAATACAAGTGGAAAAGTTGGGTTTTGGCCCCTTTTTTTGGCTTTGGGTTTTTTTTTTTTTTTCTGTTTTACAACTGTAGCCTACAGTTGTTGCATTCAAGTAAAGGCATTAGGTTCATCTGGCACGCACATGAGGTGTCCCTTTTTTTCATAGAGTTGGCAACCCTAGAATGAGAGCCCTTTAGAGTTTAAAGTATGGTGAAGGTATATAGTTTAAGCTTTGAAAACAACTTTTTAACAACTGTCGAAAACTGGCAGAGATTTACTTTCACCAGCTAAATTATCTTGAACATACAGCCAGAGCTAAGATGGATCGATTAAAAATTAGTCCTGTGTAAAATTCACTCAGGCAAATATTCATTCCAATTTGTGGTTTTTATGTGACAAACATTGACAGTTTAAGCCATTTGGCAATCTTTACAAGGCTCTATTTACAGTTTGTAAAATGTAATTTTCTTTAATCCTCTGCTTTGTACTGTACAGCAAAAACTCCATCAGACTCATTGAGAGGAAAAACGGTCCTAATTGGAGTAACTGTTGGGATTCTGGCTATTGTTGTTGCTACAGTTGCCTTTCTGATGATGAGGTGGGTCCCTCCCTTCTCCTGGTACAGTAATTTGCCACTTTAAACACCTTTATTGTACAATAACAAAGCTGAAACTACTGCATCTATGAGTCAAAAGGGCATCATAAATAAAACAAATGATTCAATTCAGTTTATTTATATAGCGCTAATTCACAACACATGTCATCTCAAGGCACTTTACAATTCAACTAGATCATGCAGTCAAATTGATTCAAAGTTTTTTATCTAAGGAAAACCAGTTGATTGTATTGACTCATTGACTTAAACTGGTAGTTGGTTTCACAGGAGAGGAGCCTGATAACTGAAAGATCTCCCTCCCATTTTACTTTTAGAAATGCTAGGAACCACTAGAAAACCTCCAGATTGAGAGCGAAGTGCTCTGTTAGGAAAATAAGGAACAATCAGATATCTGATGTAAGATTGAGCTTGGCCATTTAAGGCTTTACATGTGAGATAGAGGATTTTAAATTCTATTCTTGATTTAACAGAAAGCCAATGAAGAGAAACTAGGATAGGAGAAATATGATCTCTCTTTTTAATTTTCATCAGAACTCTGACTGCAGCATTTTATGAAATGCATGCAAAGTGTGGTAGCTGTTTTGTGCATGAGCAAACTGCATCAACCTGTGTGTGTATAAGTGGTGTTTATGCAATTGTGAACATGCATGAGCAAAATAGCTGCAGACTTACAAAACAAAACTGTTTTTGGTTCTGCTTTCAGAGGGAAGAAGAAAGCCAGACATCGCTCATATGTCCTGACTGGGACAACTGTCACAGAATCTTGATGACACAGATTGAAAGCAGACATTTTTTATACTGCAACTCAAATGTGAAGAGCTAATGGATACATGAGGGGACCAACACGTGTCTGATCATCCTGCACCATGACTCCATCTTTGCAGTTACATAATATACCAACTTATTATCGACACAAAACCCAACAATAAGGCTTCATATTCATCTTTTTTAACTAAGGATTTTAATTATAAATTGAATAATGTTTTTGAATAAAAGTAGTTATACATATGTGTTCTTAAAGTAAAAAAAAAAATTATATACAGTAGATATATATAAATGTGTGTGTGTGTGTGTGTACTTTTTTTTCATTTTCAAGTTGAGATTATTTATTCTCAAAGCACAAAATAAAATATGGAAGTCCAATTAGAGTTTAAAGTATGACTTTCTGTGCAACAATACATAATTAGATATGTAGATTTCCATTATGTCTGACTAAATACAACCAAATATCTGCTACAAAAAATATATAAAAGTAAAAACAAAATATGTCTATACCTGTTTATCTATTCAAGATAGGAGACATATTTCATGATTACATCTCCAATTGGAATTTACTAATGAATTTATTTTTGGGGTTTAAATTATCAGTTGATGAAATTGTCCTGCTTTGGCTTTTTTTATATACAGATGAAAGTTGTACTTTGGGTTGGTGTGATATAGTTAGATTTGAGCTGTACATGCCATGTATCAAACCCTACTTAAAGTCCTTTTATAATGTCTTCTAAGTCGAGTTACTTCAGAACATTCTGTTTGTAGGACTGTTCATTTTGCTCTTACACATTCTCTGATAAGTCCAAATAAATGAGAAATGAGGCCCTTACACAACTCATTAAGGGAAACAAATAATGCAACCGCTTTTGGCATTTATTTAGTTACTTTATCACAATTATTTTATGTCCTACCCTGCTAACATAAAACAATTGTGTTAAAGTACCTAAATATGATTACGGTGAATGCCAAAAATGGTTGCATTATTTTTTTCGGTGTTGTGTAAGGGCTAAGGGTGTTTTCGACTGTTGCTTTGAAGATAATGATGGAAAATTTAGATTTTAGGCCTCTAATGTTTCATAAGGCATAGTTTTACAATCATGGCAATATTTTAATGTTTTAAGAGCCTAATTCCACCCCAGACCCCACACAATGTCTCAGTTCCACATTTAGCTCCTTGAACATTCATTAATTTCTCAGGTTAATGATATGAGTGCTAAACCTTTCTTTTTTAACTTAATTAAAACAACTTGTTTGTTGTATTCATTTCATTAATGAGTTTGTCTCTTTCGGGTGATCTGCACATGGCTGTTGAGATAAAAACAGATGTGACTTTGAACACAGGAAATCAACCATGGGTAATTACAGATGCAAACTGCATATGACTTCCGCAGTTGTTGTTGTCTTTGATAGTGAACTGAAAGGTTGTCTACAAATAATACTATTCAGTAAATCTTAAGGAAGCTCTTATTTATAGCGTGATGCAACAAGGTTGGTCTATTTTTGTGATATAAATGACAGTCATCTCATGTTCATTAAAAAAACTGAAGTCAGTCAGACATGTTTTGGTAACTAAATAAACTTTGGGTTCTGGTAGATACTCTGCAGGACAAGAAGAGAAGGGGAAGGATAAAAACCAAGAGGACAGTGACTCCACGCAGTCAGTAACAGGATGCCCTGGGAGATCAGTTCTTAGCCCCATCAGCTTGTTTTTAGAGCGGCCTTTACAATCAACATGGAATGTATAAAGAGTTTTGGTAAAAAAATAAATAAATAAAAAACATTGGGAATCAGAGGATTATGCTTATACCAATGACAGGGGAAGGGTTTGGATGGGGATGTTGAATTTTTTTTGTTTTGTAGCAAAAAAAGGTCTTTAGACTTTAACTTTTGATGAAAGACTTCTATGATCTAGCATGTTTATAATAAAAAAGGTTTTAAGTAACAAAAATAGACTTTTTTATATAAAAAATATCATTGAAATTTTAATATAAAGATAAAACATGAAATATATCCAACATAATGAACAAATTAAAAGTATTGGCATTTTGGCTTAAAATCACTAAGCTTATAAAGCTATATTACAGTATTTCAGTCACTATACATTTTCTGACATGCTTAATCCCAAGTGGGGTTAATCCAAACCATTAAAGGGCAATTTCTACCAAGAACAGATAATGTTTGGTTTTAGGTAAAAAAAAATAAATGAAAAAATAAAAACACTAATTGTATGTTCTTCTGAGCATGCAGATATGAAATTCAAACTCTAGGGGGCAGTGTTGGTTTTTTAAACAGTCAGTAGATGGTTGAAAGCTGCTGCTGCAAAGTGTCTGACACATTTCCCCCACTGAATGTAACACAAAACCAATATTTAAATTCAATTTAAAAATAGAATAAAAACCATCAATACTATTTGAAACAGCAATCATCTACTCTACATGGAAAATCAGTGTTAGACATCACAAAAAAAGGAAATGTACATTGAGACTGTAAATGGTTAGTTCTGTTTTGAAAGCCTGTTCTGTTCATGTGTTAAAACTTGGTACAACAACGTTTTTATGATTCCTGTGTTCGGTTTCCTCCCTCATTCCAAGAGCTCACCCAAACATTACATTTTCATAATCATTGCTGGTTTTCTGAAAATAAGAAGAATAGTTTAAGACATAAATTGTAGCATATTGTTCTTTACTCTATTGTTTTTACCAGAACCTGCTCCTGTGCTCACCTCTTTGTCTTCTTCAGAACAAGACCGGTGTTTCCTTTAATAACAAGATAAGAGGCCTCAATTAACCAGGCGATTCCACATTTCTATGTTAGGAAAGCAACAATTTCTGTGTTACCTACCAAGCCCAGATGATAACCAATGGCAGCGTGAGCAGAAAAATTACCTTGATTCCAATCCCAAGGACAATCAATGGATGAACTGAGATTTAAAAAGATAAACCCTAATTAACCCAAATAAATAATTGAACATGAACACTTCTGTTCCTCCAATTCCCACCTGTGTCTTCCACAGTCAACAGCACTTCAGCCGAACGGCTTTGTCCCACATGGTTCTGGGCCTGGCAGATGTACATTCCAGTTTGGGTCAGCTCCAAAGAGGAAATGCTCAGGACCCGCCCCAAACCCACCTGGAGATCAGAGCTGGGGTTGGAAGCGTTACTCCTGTACCACCATGTGTAGGTATCTGCTGCAGGGTTAGCAGCACTCTTGCAGGTCAAATTTACACTGCTTCCCACCAACAAAGGGTTAGAACGATTCACCTCAATGGACACATTTATTGGAGCATCTGCATGAGAAACACAAAAGAGCAGTTAAAATCAAAATGATTTACTCTGGCTAATGCTGTAAATCTCAAATTTTATATACAAATGTCCATGCAGAGGTACTGTTGCTAGTTTTTTGGTTTTTACCTTTTGTCACGTTTCAACCACAAGCCTCAGTATTTTTCTTAATTTTATGTGTTAGAAGAAGAATTCATTAAAGAGAGAGGAAAAAATTATGCATCATTCTTAAAATTACTCCTGTCTCTGCAACATCTAACAAAGGTTCTTCCTGGATTGTCCAGCATTTAGCTCCACCCATTTTCCAATCAACACAGATTAGCTTTGCAGTAGAATTACAGCAAAATGCTTCTGCAGTCGCCATGTTTCCCCATGTTTAATAAATAGGTAACTTTGAAATGCCTTCAGTTTTACTTGGTCTGGAGAGGTATCAGAGTCAAGGGGACTGAAATCAAAAAGATGCTTTTTTTACCTTTCAAATTTTATATTTGTAATAAAAAAAACATCAGAGCATAACATTTTATGTTCAGCTCTCATTTATGTTCCACCTTGGATTTGTCTTTTGTGATCAAGTTTTTGGCGCACATGCACTCAGGGGTGCAACTACCTTATTTCTAATGGTTATGCAGACACATTGCAGGATTCATGTTTGGCTTTTTTTACAAAAGGATACCAGATATCTAAATCATTCTGGTCATCTATGTTTGCATCACAGCCATAATGTAGTGCTTTATCTGCATGAAGACATTCAAAATGCATGGCATTCCCAAATTTAGGAATATATCTTTTGTATGCTTTTATTCACCAATAAAGTAAGTTACTGAATACTGTTTAAACAAAACCACAAATGGGTCTCCTTATTTTTCTTGCAATGATTGGTTGCAAATATTGATCAGTAGTGGTGAGTTTTTTTTCC